CCCCCCCCTTAAGAAAAGAAGTACCATGGACATGAGCAATTGTAATAGACTGAAATAGGATGTAATTCATGCAGTAACTTTACCCTTTGTGATGTGTATTTTTCTCATTGGGGCTGTTATGCGTTCACACGGTGCTTCAGAGGGGCGAAAGTTTTACTTTCAGTAAACAGAGACTGTTCTGCCTCCACTGTCTTATTTTATTAGACAAGTAATTTTAGGAGAACTTCATAAAAAACTACTTTAGTTCTTAAAGGCATATTTAAATGAAGCTTACATCCAGCCATAGAATGTCATAATTGAAATATCACTGAAGCTCATTGAGATTAATCTTTTTGCTTTTTAATTTCAATGTGCACCCTGATTCTGTGTTGTAGTAATATAGCATTTCAGGTCAAAGACATCTCTATAGATTGCATTTGTGGCATGCGTCAATAATCCCTGCTTGTTCCGCAATTGATGAAATTGGTATGAAATGAAAATTCACCCTCTCTATGCATCGTATTGATCTTATTGTAAGCGATATATATGTAATTTTGAATTAAAATATCATAACTTAACCTTCCAGAGAAATGACAGACTTCTCTCAGCAAGACTTCTTTTTGTTCATTGGCTCAAGTAGTGCTGTGAATTTGGAGTGGGACTGTTTGTCATCCAGTGGAAGATGGGGAAGTGTTTGAAACTTATTTCTGCAATTCCAAATGTCACTAGTTGCACAGAAATTACACACTTCATTAATTTATCAATATGTTTATGACACACATAGTCACATTTCAAAAACATAACCATAACATTTAAAACATTATTGTGATTTAAGCAATTCACATGGTATGATACAGTAGAATTGCTTGTAAAATACAAAATACTTTTTGTAAAATACTTGTAAAAAAAAAAACTTGTAAAAGCAAACTTTTTACCTAGTGTACAGTCATAAATGTTAGAGTAGGGTTGTTATAGATAACTAAAACCTTAAAAACATTGCTACTTAAAATAAAATAAATGTTACTGTTAAATGTTACATAAACGTAAACTTTTTTTTACATTTCTGCTAGTTGCCAAGACAACATTTCTCAATTAAATTTATTTTAACTTGATAAAATAGCTTAAACTGAAACCGAAATAAAATTGATAAAGACTGTGTAGACATATAAAAAAATAAATCCTACAAATGACAAAAACAGATCAAAATTACTTTAACATTAATTAAAAATGAAAATGGAAAACATAAAAATCAAAACTAATTCAAAATATAATAGTTTCATAATGATACTAAAATAACTCTTTTAAACTGTTTTCTGCATGTTATTCTTGTAGTTATTTACCACCAGCGGCTAATGAATCAGAAGTCTCACACATTCACAGGAAGTAGCTTACAGTGAATACAAGGTATCCATAGAGTTTATGAGTTTTGAATTCCTGCTGTGAACCCTATTCATTTCTTGTTTTGCAAGGCTTCCACTGATACGTGCATCACTGTAAATGCGTTTTCCATTCTTTTGGAGTTTAAACTATTTCTGCGGGAAATTGGCAGAATCCCACAGTTGCAATCAATAGAGCTTATGTTATGTCGATCAACCCAGCATAGGTTAACCTGACATTATTACGCAGGTCAAGCCAACATTAACAAGAAATTTAATTTGTATTTGTGGAAGAACAGAAGATCTTGACCTTCTCTACTAAAGTTCTCTATAATGTTCTCTCCAGTGCATCTCCCATTGCAGGCTTCCTGGATGACTACGCCTTTGTGGTGTGTGGGCTGCTGGACCTGTTTGAGGCCACGCAAAGGGTCCACTGGCTGCAGTGGGCTGAAGAGCTCCAGCTGAGGCAGGATCAGCTCTTCTGGGATTCCCAGGGCAGCGGCTACTTCTGCAGCGACCCCTCAGATCCGACCCTGCTGTTAGCTCTCAAACAGGGTGAGGAGCAGAAATGTGACATCATGTGTGACGGTACCCTGTATTAAGGGTGTGGAAAGCCTATGGATCTAGGCTTTTTGCTTTGGGAATGTGTGGGTGGGTATGAGTCATGGGAAGGATGATGAAGATCTGTAGCTGTCAGTCTACATTCTGCATCACTCCACCGCTGATAGCTCCACCACACTGCGCTCCTATGTACCCTCGCCTGGGTATGTCTGGCTGAAACCGAGTTATTTTATTTGAAACCGAGTCTTTTATTATGCTGTAATGTCCTTCTCTCTTTTCTATCTCACCCAAACACACTGCCTTTTTTCACACCATTTCTTTTCCAGTCCATCTTCTGATGAATTCCAATATCTCCTCCTCCACCCTCTCCGTGTTTCTGGGTAGAATTTGACCAATATAGAAGACTGATCCAGTACTTCAAAGACTGTTTTGTTAAAGCAATTGATATTTCCTTGAAGTAACACCGCATCCCTTTTATTTCATACTGTGCACCATTCATCACCTTCTGCGTGACATTGCTATGGAAGTGGAATGAGAGAGTGATTTTTCATTCTTTTTTTGTCCGCACACATACTTTCGAACTATATAAGTGCCGGGGCTTAATGTCCCGAATGGCTTGGCTCCATATTTTCTCTGTAGGAATTGGTAGTACGAGCTGATGTGAGCAAATAGTCGCACCAGTGTGCCTGGGCCGTGACTGATGGCACTGTGAAAATGGCACTGACACCAATTAGATATGGATGAGAGCTGAGAAAGCTAACTGTTATGCTTTTGTTGTTGCTTCTGATAAATTAAAATGGACATAAGACAGATTTTTCATCTTTTTTGAGTGACTGGGCCATAATATAGTGAGCCAGAGTTGGCTCCATTAGGAGTCATGCGGTGCTGTCACGTCTTAGAACCGAGTCCCTTCACCTCTCTCTGTCGGTGGAAGATGGATTGCCTCCCAAAGCATCTGCCACTCTACATTTTACGCCTTGCCCAAACGAGACAAGAAAAAAACGAGTCAGCTTTGCCATTTTGTAAAAACCACAGGCAGTGTAGCCACTAGATTTTCTAAAATAAAGCTATTGGGTTTCTTTATTTTGGGCTTGAGTCCTTCAAAGACTTTTGTTGCTGTGCAAATATTTTAAGTATTTAATAGAAAGCCTGTTTTCCATATTGACCACATGCAATGCTGTGTTCAAGTCCTCCTGGGAAGTTCTACATTATGAGTTTGAAAATCATGATAAGTATAGTCATAATTTATTTATCTTTTTCACTTCCACATAAAGACAGTCATTAAAGCGTCGTAAAGAGTCATTTAAGAAGCTGCATTACTGTTCAGAAGTTTGGGTTCGGTAAGATTTTTCAATTTTTTTAATGAAGTCTTTTACGCTCATCAAGGCTGCATTTATTTGACCTAATCACAGTAAAAAGAATAATATTGTGAAATTGAATTACAGTAAATATTTTGTATTTTAATATATGAAGCTGAATTATTAGCAGCCTTTACTCCAGTCTTCACCGCCACATGATCCTTCAGAAATAAGTTTAATTGTTGCTAGTGGTTGCTTAATATTTTTGTGGAAACTGTGATACTTTTTTTCAGGATTTTTTGATGAATAGCATTTATTTGAAATAGAAATCTTTGTAACATTACAAATGTCTTTATGCTCATTTTGATTAATTTAATGCATCCTTGCAGATTAAAACTGTGATTTTCTTTTAAAACAAAAATCTCATTGACCCTAAACTTTCTAACTGTAGTGTATTTCGGGAAGCTACAAAGTAAATGCAACAAAATAAAGCACAAAGGATGCACATTCCAGGTGCAGCTGATGTTTTATATATGTGTTTGCTGTGAGAGAGAGAGAGAGAGAGAGAACGTTGGGAAATAGTTTGGTCCCACTATCCTGTCTCCTCATAAACCAGGCAAATTATTAGTATTTTCTGGCAAGCTTTATTACTAAACTCTACACCCAAGCTATACAAACCAATTTTACCTCCAACGTTCATAATTACAATTTATGATCAATACTTATTTTCTTCCACCAGAATTCGCAAACTGATATACTCTTAAAGACAAGTTAGGAGTATATCAGCTTGTAAATACGATCATTCTGACATGACTTGTAAATACGATCATTCTGACATGACTGCATGTGTCTTCTAAGGAGCAAGCTACCTGATATCATCTGCATGAGTTTAGTCACCAGAATTCGCAAACTGATATACTCCTAACTTGTCTTTAAGAAAATCCAGATTTGTTGTGCCGTTCATGTGTGCTCAGCTTGTAAATACGATCATTCTGACATGACTTGCACGCAGTAAATGGCCATGTGTGGTGCATGTGTCTTCTAAGGAGCAAGCTACCTGATATCATCTGCATGAGTTTAGTTGGAACAGCATTGCTGCTATTCATCAGTCATCGCTTCCATCCCTCTCAGCTCCCAGATGCAATCAGCTCATTACACTGTGACACGAGGCATGGGAACCCACTCCCAACTCCCCCTTTGCACACAAACAAAGAGCAGATAAAGTAAATCAACTCACAGCTCTAGAGCCACTTCACTTGTGATATCAGACACTTATAGCTCGGCTTAAACTGATAAATGTGCTCCAGTTAAATTGATATTGGAACCATAAATGTTATGATGCAGTTTTTTCCAGAAGCCAGACTGTTTACGTCAATGTGTTTGAAAACATGGCTGATACGCTGGACTGGACTTATCTGACTAGAATACCATTGTATCTTTTCCTTTTTTACAATTTTTTTTTACAGATCAGGACGGTGCAGAACCCAGTGCGAACTCTGTCTCAGCCATGAACTTGCTGCGACTCTCCCACCACACAGGCCGGCAGGACTGGATACAACGCTCACAGCAATTACTGACTGCCTTCTCTGATAGACTGATTAAGGTGCCAGTCGCCCTGCCAGACATGGTCCGCAGTGTCATGGCCCAGCATTACACCCTTAAGCAGGTAACTGCAGTCTCGTCCACAACTACTGAATATGAAGTTTAAAAGTCTGGTTTCACTTGTCACGTCATGTCCAACTGATGCAATGGCAATGAAATGCTATTTTTTAAGCCTCCTTGACTGAATACTACAATAAGACAGACATGTTCTCAAGTCCCTATGCTAGACTCCAATCTCAAGTCCAAGTCTTGACAGTTTTTCACTATATGCTTCTGATTAGTTTTATAAACACTTTTTAAGATGTATATTTTCAATATTTTCAATATTTATGATTTAATTAAACCTTATTTAAACTATAAATTAAGTATGTATTGTTTGTTAGCTTATTTAATCATTTATTTTCTATTTTACCATTATTATAATTATTATGTTTATGTATTATTTAACATTGTTTTACGTATTTATTTGAATATATTTACACTTATTATTAATTATATTTATTTATATATTATTATATGTAAATATTTATTAACATAATTATTATTATTATTATTACTATTAAATATTGTTTACAAAATATTTATTAATTTACTTTTATTTATCCAGCAGTGTAAGAAATGATTAGTGAACAATGCTTTTTGCCTTAAATTAAAATTGATTATGACTCCAGGCAGAACAGAACTGAGGATAGACCATTGATCAAGGGACTCTGTTCTCAATGATTTTCCTGTTCCACCTGGTGTAGATGTCCTGCAGGTTGACGATACACCTGTGGTGTAATATGCAGCTGACCGCACCACCCTCTGTACGTCCTTCTGGTCCAATGTTTTGCTGCTACTGTACCAGATAGTAATGCAGCCTGACAGGAAGCTCTCAATTGTGCACGCAAGTTTAATGATCTGAGCATCTGTAGAGTCATCCTGAACTTCCGTAGGCATGTGTGGGCCATGCCAGGCATTCTGGAAGATACAACTTAATACAACCTATTGAACATAAAGGTGTCAAAACCAGCCAGTGAAGCTGGTTGACCACAAAAGTCTTGCTGGTTAAGAAATCTGGTGGGGAAAACAACAAATCAGCATGCGAGACACAGCATATGCTGGCATCACATTTTGGTTTCAGCTGGTCTTTGGATGCTTCTTTTGTATTCATTTATATTTCCATCCATGTTTAATGCTGTAATAAACAAATGTTGTGTAATTTTAGGAGCTCAGATATAAAAATTGTGTGTATATGTACACAGACTATCGTTCAAACGTTTGGGGTCGGTTTAATGATTTTTTAAAATGTTTTTGAAGTCTCTTATGCTTACCAAGGCTGAAGTTATTTGATATCATGAAATACATTAAAAACAGTAATACTGTGAAATATTATTACAATTTAAAAGAACTGTTTTCTATTTTATAATATTTTACAATGTAATTTATTCCTGTGATGGCAAAGCTGAATTTTCAGCAACCATTACTCCAGTCTTCAGTGTCACATGATCCTTCAGAAATTATATTAATATACTGATTTGTTGCTCATTTAACATTTCTTATTACTTTCAATGTTGGAAACAGCTGTGCTGCATAGTATTATTGTGGAAAAGTATAAAAGTATTGAAAGAAAGAAAGAAACTTTCTGACCCCAAACTTCTGAACCCTAATCTCTAGGCTTAATGGTGTATCTCATTGCTGATTCCTAAGCTTATTTGGGATATCAGTATGACCCTTGTTGCTTCTGTTATAAAGGTGCATACAGTAGAATTGAAAGCCAGTTCATCAGTCCTCACTATGAGGACCGTTAGTGCTTGGATCTGTCACAGATCAATTAGAATGATGCTGCTGGATAAAAGTTTTCCCTGTCAGGCCATTTTTCCAAAGTTTTCTCCTGTTCCTGGACAATTGTATGAGCTGTGAACATGTGTCATGGCCATCAGAGCTCACCAGCGGCAGAGAAGTCATCAGAGTAGGAGGAATAATAAGCTAGAGGTCCAGCTGAGGGCAGTCCACTGCACATCACACCTGTCCACCTCATTACAGCACCATACAAGCAGTCCTGACCCTTTCTTCTTCTTTTCGCATTTGTTCATTTGGTGGTTCATAAGTCTTTTTTTTTTTTTTTTTTGCTCACAAGTTTGTTGTTCTGTTCTGTGTAACAGTCTCTTATTTTTCTTGTAGATTGTCATCTGTGGCCAGCCTGATGCTGAGGACACTGCAAGTTTGATTTCCTGTGTCAACTCTCTATTTCTGCCCCATAAAGTAAGTGTGCTTTACTCTCTAAGACAGAGCGCTGTTAGGGCTATTAAGGTCACTCTAATAGGGTGCTTCAATCAGTTCATTCAACTTTGAAATACTATATGAGACAGGATTATTGTAGTTAACCAAAAAACTAAAATACACATTTTCTGCACACAAGTGACTTTTAATTTTCTTTTTTTCCCCCAAAGAGCACATTTAAAATATATGTATATGATTGAATGAAATATGCCAAGAATTGAAATTAACGTCTTTTTTAATCTGCCATAATAGACCTATATATAAAATTAATTTGGTGCAACACTGGATGATTTTACCTTTTTTCAGATTTTAGTGGCTTTTCACTGTATGTAGATGTTTTTTTTCTCATACATGACACGTTCATTGGTTTACACAGAATGCCTTGTGCATTGGAGTACAGTCATGCTAATGAGTTCACTAAAGTAATCTCCAGCGAAAGGTCAAGTTGTCAGATTTTTAACCTATGCATGCTGCGAGGCAAAGGGCTGGGACAATGGCTACCCACCACACCACATTTTACATTTTGGAATAATTAGTAAATAGTTAAGAGTTTTCTGTAGATGTTAGCCTTAGGCTTGGCTTTGTGGGGATTTTTTTTCTTTCGCTAAAGGTCGTAGCTCAGGATAGCATTGGCACTCTTCCTGCCCTTTTCCCCAGCGCTCCTCCGACTGCTCTCTTCTCTCACACGATGACAGAAAGAGCAAACACACACATGCTCGGCGCATCTGGCCTTACAAGTTTTAAGTGTGAAATACTAATAGCAAGCACAACAGAATACACACCAAGGTCTAACCTTTTGCCATTTATTACGGTGGTCTAACATCTTTATTGTGAAATCCCTAGAGAGGATAACACTCCCTGTCCTTAAGGCAGGAATAAAGTTTGTTTTTAAACGAAATGGACGAGAGAGATCATGAATGGAAAATAGGCTGGGGCCATCCCGTTGTTCTCTATTTCTGTTGTTACAGTAGGTGGCTCTGTAGGCTGGTGTTGGGAGGATGTAAGCATGATGTGACCTTACACTCCATCAGTGAACCCTGAATGTCATATCTCGTGTCAAAGGCTGAGTTTGATCTCCTCATGGTGCATCATATGTTCCTCCCTGGTGGGGCAAATATGGGGGTAGAATTGTTGCTTAATTCCAAATAAATAGATTATGATCCACAAATAAATAGAATGAGATCCACATATAAATCTTAAAGTTTCACAAACATGAATTAAATTCACAAATAAATAAAATAAGATTTGCAAATAAAAAACATATTCACAAATATATATTTATGTCACAACCACAACTTTGCCTGGCATTTATTTGTGAATCACGTCCTGTGCATTTGTAGATAGCTGCACGCATTTGTGAATCGCGTCCTGTGCATTTGCGAATTGTGAAACATTTCTTGCGTCAAGACGTGCTGACAATCCACAAATACGTGGACTCCACCCACCGTCTACTCAAGCCAATCAGATAACAGCCACATTCGCTGACCAATCGTAGCACAGTCTCGCTATAGCCAATCACGTTTTGCTTTACAATCAGGGCGGTCTCGTCCTGAGATAACTTCAATTCACAAATAAATGCCAGGCAAAGTTGTGGTTGTGACATACATATATATTTGTGAATATGTTTTTTATTTGCAAATCTCATTTAATTTATTTGTGAATTTAATTCATGTTTGTGAAACTTTAAGATTTATTTGTGGATCTCATTCTATGTATTTGTGGATCATAATCTATTTATTTGGAATTAAGCAACAATTCTACCCCCATAGGCAAAGTCTTTGGCACATTCATCTTTTTTCTCATTATAGCCACACTTCATAATCTTTCATTGGGATTTAATAACTTTCTTTGCTTCTAAAACAAATTTGCTGCTGACATAACCAAATCTGTGTAGGTAGGAAAATGAACAGTATAAATATATTATTCAGTCAAATCCAGATTGAAAAAATGAAGTCCTTTTCTACATTGTTTCCCAATGTATATTCTTTTAGAAATGTGCCACATATAAATGTTGCTCTAGGTTGTTTCATATCTGCAGTCTGTATATTTTGGTCTTTTCGGTTTTCATAGTAGTCTAGTAGGTATGAGAAATGTAATGTCTCTTGCTCCTGGCCAGATGTAATATTTGACTTGTTTAGTTATGATCCCTTTTTGCCATGTGCACAATATATATGGTTCTTTTTCTCTGTTTCGGAAATACTGGAGTGTGTGTGAGTGAGTGTGTGTCCCCTAATGCAGAGAAGTCATGCTTCTGTCAACGATTTGTGCAAATCCATCCCTGCCAGTCTGATCACAATAAAGCACATTTACTGTTGGTTAATTATGGGAATTTAAAAGCATAATTCACCCAATAGTGAACATTTATTTGCTAAAATTCATGTCATATCAACCACTTATGACAGATTGAGAGACAGATTTGTGCTCGTTTTTTTTTTATTTTTCTGTGGGGCACACAGAGTCTGTAGTGAATAATGACTTACATTTCAGCCTGTTTGTCACACACAGCTATTGTATGGCTTCACATTATAGCCCCAGCACTCACTCACTATTCTTCAAAAATTCACCTCATAAGTATGTCCTGCAGAAGAAAGAAAGCTATACGGTTACTGAACGAAATGATAGTAAGGGTGTTGAAATGAATCGTGTCTACGATGCATCGCAATGCAGACATGGACGATTCTGCATCGATGCAGTAATAGACCATAATTGATTATAGCATACTGACGTCATTTGCATACACACTTGTCACGTTAGCTTAAAATGGCGGAGGGAAGCGAAACACCAAAGCGAGTATTAGATGCATGAAACTCACGTACTGGCAAACTTTCATGTGCGCTTTGTGTTTGTTTGTCCTGAAGCTCGCGGCTGCAGTTAAATGCACTTGCATCATATTTGCTTGTATGTTTTGAAGTTATATTTAGTTGGTTAAATTCTTAGCAATTGTTTTGATTTATTATTAATTTGTAAGCCTGGTTGTATAATTTAATACAAATGCACAAAATAAATCTGATATAAAGTGAATATGAAAATGTAGCCATGTGCCGTAATATTGAAAATTGAGGATGTGACGTATCGTGATGCATTGTGATATCAAATTGAATCGAAACGTTGACATGACAATCGTAAACGAATCGAAACGTGAAACCAGTGATGATTCACATCCCTAATGATAGAGAGTAAAAATTAAAGTATTTTCATTTTTTTGGGGGGGTGAACTATCTCTACTTTATATCTGTTACATTGGGTGTGTCTTTTTTATGCGTTATTCAGCTATATAAAATCTCATAGAATTGAAGTAAGCATCTAGACAGGTGATTTGCCTGGGCCAACTGAGTGAATGGAGTCTCACTCATTCGTTCCCGGAGCATAAATCTTGGTGATCATAAGAGACTCCTTTCAAAAACATTAAAATATCATACCGACTTCACGCTTTTGGACGGTAGTGTAGATGTGTAAGCTGAACTTGCAAAAATCAGAGGGTGTGATTGTGGTCAGACTAAAGAGTTTACAAAAAGATAAATTTGTGCTTTAGTATGGCTGAAATTGAACTTTTAAAGTTTTTGAATTGTGTCAAGAAAATTCTTGCACTGAAAATTCTTGCACTGATTTGAACAGAGAGGGATGTTAGAGGATGCTTTCATGTACGGTGGGCTGACATGTCTGCTTTCAGTTACATGGAAAGATTAAGCTACATTTCTCTCTCTCTTTTCCTAATCTGTGTTTTTCATTTGTAACAAGAGAGACACGTAATTAGAGAGGGATAAATGGTTCTCACCTGCAGAGTCAGGACATGAATTAAACGTAATGAGAGCCATCATCTTAAGTCACTGAATCAGCCAGAACCAGCGCTTTGTCTCCATGGCATTGGGTATTCTTTATAAACAAAGAAAAACAGAGCTTGCTCTTACTCATTATAGTCATATAAATCCTGGCAATGGAAAAATCATGCATCAGTGTTCCTCAAACACACACATACATATTACTTGCAAATATTAAAGGCACAATCTGGTTCCTTGTGTGAAAAATGTGAAATTGAATCTGAGGCCTAGAGACTGTGGAGCTGATGAGATTTCCTGCTCGTACATTGCGAGAGCATTTAGAGCGGCATTGCGCTCTGCTTCCCATCTCTAAACCAAGAGCGTTAGTGTGACACTGGCTCACCTTGCATGTTTGTGTAGATATAGCTGTGATAGATTTAACCTGAACTCACCAAGGGTTATCAAAACAGCATTATCAGTAATTACCCCTTCTATTATCAAACCTGTTTGTTTAGCTTCACTGGAAATCCATCCATATCTATTTATATGAATGTAACGCCTGTCTGCAGTAAGAGGCTGCCTTTTGTGTGCACTTCAGTAAGTACCCCTTCTATTATCAAACCTGTTTGTTTAGCTTCACTGGAAATCCATCCATATCTATTTATATGAATGTAATGTAAGAATCTATAGTCTGCCCCGACCCAGATTCCACTCCACAATATATATTTGATCATGCTCATTTCCCAAAATGGCTTAATTAAAGAAGAAAGTCAACAGTTATGTTGTTTCTAGACCATTTGGGATGATCACATCCTGAGCAAATGGTGACCAATTGTAGAATGGAAGCAGGTGTGGGACACCATGAACCATCTCAGACAAAGGGGTGTCAGAACTTAATTAACATTAAGTTACGACAGGAGCAACTTCATTTACATTAAGGGTAGTAAACTCTGAGTGTATAAAATGTTTGAGCTTAGGATGTTCGTGGTTCATTCTGACTCCGTTGAACCCAAGGTACTACATGTACTTTGTCACTGCTATGCTGCAATAAAAATCTACATCGAGATCTTCAACGTCCTCATCACTTTTTCTTACAGTATCTATCTATCTATCTATCTATCTATCTATCTATCTATCGTTTTATCGTTCTATCGATCTATCTGTTGTTCTATCATTCTATTGTTCTAACGTTTGCTCCATCCATCCATCCATCCATCCATCCAT